AGATCAATATTCGAGGGGGGCATCCGATTCGGATTATTGTCGCCCGCCCCCTCTCTCTTGCCCTAGTGTGGACACAGACCCGTACCCTGGACCGAGGTCGCGTACCTGAGACCGCTGGCCCGGTTTCCCATCCCCCATCCTGACGGAACCATGGGCTTGGCTCAGTGTGTCTTCGGTTCCTTGGTCTGGGCTTGCTGTGGCGGCGAAGGGGGGGTTGTCGGGCTACGACAGGGAGAAAATAGGGGCGCGTATAAGATTTTTCATTCGGTCATCGGATGCTGATCATCATCTACCTGATGACATTGAAAATGGTGCTGTGCAAAACTGGTCCTCAGCAAAACGTTACAATGAAGAAAAGTGCCCCCTCCGCGAACACGCTAATGATTCTCGGAGAAGCTGCTGCTCTCATCCACAGTTACGTTGCTGGTGGTATTGTGAACTGGTCGTCTTTTCTGTAATGTAGGTGGTAATACATAGCAAGACAGAATTTGCCACTCGCATTGGACCTCAATAAGGCAAGGCCTTGGGACATACTTGAAGAAAATAATTTAAAAAGAAGAAAGATGGCATATTCATGAAAATGTGCCTCCCAGCGTTATTTGTAATAGTAACAATTAAAACAACCTAAGACTGTACAACAGATACAGTTAACTAAATAATATAAATGTTACGGATGGGAGGTAGAAGTGAGTATGGGGGGAAATGGGAATACATTAAGGTAGAGGGATTCGTGATTACCTTTTTTAATGGCTCCTTTAATGTCAAAATAATAATGTTTTAAAAATTAGTAAACATTGCCGAAACCGGTTTGGCTCAGTGGATAGAGTGTCGGCCTGCGGACTGAAAGGTCCCGGGTTCGATTCCAGTCAAGGGCATGTACCTGGGTTGCGGGCACATCCCCAGTAGGGGGTGTGCAGGAGGCAGCTGATCGATGTTTCTCTCTCATCGATGTTTCTAACTCTCTATTTCTCTCCCTTCCTCTCTGTGAAAAATCAATAAAATATATTTTAAAAAAAAATTAGTAAACATTACAAAAATGCACACAAAAGCGCTTCGCTCTCTGAAACGGGATTTTTGGACTGGAACCTGGCTTCTTTGTCCGCCGGAATCGAAGAATGAATCCACGGACAGAAAGTGGTATAGCAAAGGTGGAGATTTATGGAAGAACAAGTACAGACTCCCACCTGGGGAGAGGGAAAGGGTCCCCCAGAATGGACTTCCATGTAGGGAGGGGGAAAGGGTCCCCCTGAGTTCCTTTTCCTTATGGCTTATAAAGGTTGCAGATCCTGGTGCCTTGATATCCCCTCTGATTGGTCACCATTCTCTTAGTTTGTGATTAATCACTATGCTTTAATTATGTTCAATTTGTACCAATGAAAATACATCCTGCATATCAGATACTTACATGACTATTTATAACAGTAGCAAAATTACAATTATGAAGTAGCAACGAAAATAATTTTATGGTTAGGGGTCACCACAACATGAGGAGCTGTATTAAAGGGTCGTGGCATTAGGAAGGTTGAGAACCACTGCTATAGATCCTCCTGGGCTCAAAGGTCCAACCTCACAATGGACATGAGAGGTATTCCCCCCCCCTTCCTTATTTTCCTATTCCCTTTGGGCTTCTGGATGATTTTGCTGTTTCCAGCTCCCCCATTCTATGGAAATGTACCTGTTGCAGCTTTTCAGCTTCCCTATTCTATGGAAATATACCTTCAGCTGTTCTGCAGCCCTGTGCCTCCTCCATGGTCCCCTTAATTTCCAAAATTTCTAAAATTTCCTAAACCTGTCCCATTTTATCTCTAAAATTCCTGTTTCATCTCGAGACTATTTCTTAGAACTCTTTGCAGCAGGCTGGAAAAAATTAACCAGCCCTTTGAGCCTGTCCCAGAGGCATGGCTTTCCCCAGGCTGCCCTGTGCCTGTGTGCCCGGAGCGCCTATGCCATCCTGGTTGGTCTCTCATTGTGCTGTTTACAGGAAGTCAGCCTGTGGACATGGTTTTCAGGATAAAGGGGGAGTTACTCATGCCTGTGAATGGATGCATTCACTTTATCCTTGAGCTCTTTGGTTCTCTTAAAGAAGGGCGTATTCTTTGAGAGCATGATGTATGTGAAGATGAAGAGCAGTACTTTCTGGCCAGTCTTGTTTCTAGTCCTAATTGTTTTGTTCTCAGGAGCATTTACTGTCTTTGTCTTGTTCCACTTGTTTCTTTAGTCCTGTTTAAGGAGCATCCATTAAGGAGAGCGCCCCCTCCCGGAGAAGTACAGCCTGGCCGTCCCGAGCTCTCCGTGCCCATGTCGGCACCAACGTGCCTCCCACCAGCTGCCGAGGAGCCCGACTGCGTCGTGGTGGTGAAGATGGAAGGGCAGGAGGAGGCCTGGGACCTGGAACCCGGCCTGCCCCGCAGAGGCCGCTCCAGCCCCGAGGCCTTCCGCCAGCGGTTCCGGCAGTTCGGCTACCAGGAGGCGCCCGGGCCCCGGGAGGCCCTGGGCCGGCTGCGGGAGCTGTGCTGGCGGTGGCTGCGGCCCGAGGCGCACACCAAGCGGCAGATCCTGGAGCTGCTGGTGCTGGAGCAGTTCGTGGCCATCCTGCCCGAGGAGCTGCAGGCCTGGCTGCGCGCGCACGGCCCGGGGAGCGGGGAGGAGGCCGTGACGATGCTGGAGGAGCTGGAGAAGGAGCTGGACGGGCCGGCGGAGCAGGTGGGAAGGGATGGGGATGAGCGACCGGCGGGTCAGGGGCTCCATTCAGCCGGTTGTGTAGCGGGGTGAGTGCACCCCCAGCTGTGCCAGGAAACAGGACGTGGCTCTGTTTTCCCTCCCTTTCCCTGTGGCCCGGGGTCTCTCACTTTATCCAAAGGTCCTGCCTCAGCCTCAGATAATCTAACTGCTTCCAGGTTTTGGGACAAAATGCAGAGGACGTGGCAGCTCAGGAAATCCCTCGGGAGTCGCCAAGTGGCCCGCCCAAGCCTGCGAAGCCGCAGCCGCCGTGCCCATCGCGGGAGCGCCACTCCTCCAGGCCATGCGGTGAGGGCGGGACCAGCTCCCGGTGTGGGCACAGGGCCCCAGCCACGGTGAGGGCGGGACCAGCCATGCGGTGAGGGCGGGACCAGCTCCCGGTGTGGGCACAGGGAGCCCAGCCACGCTGAGGGCGGGACCAGCTCCCGTGTGGGCACAGGGGGCCCAGCCACGCTGAGGGCGGGACCAGCTCCTGGTGTGGGCACAGGGAACCCAGCCACGGTGAGGGCGACCAGCTCCCGGTGTGGGCACAGGGGGCCCAGCCACGGTGAGGGCGGCACCAGCTCCCGGTGTGGGCACAGGCGGCCCAGCCACGGTGAGGGCGGGACCAGCTCCCGGTGTGGGCACAGGGAGCCCAGTCCCCGAGCATGCACGGAGGTCTCCAGCTTCCCCCTGCACCCTCCACTGTGGGAATTTCTCCCTCTACTTTCTACCTCTACATGTCGTGCTGATGGACATTCTCATAGCTTGTTCTTTCTCATAGATTCTCATAAAATCTGCAGATTTTAAAAATTCTTGGCATCATCTCCATCAGGATTGTCAAACCTTTTTCAAGCAGCATGATTGTTTTTTCAAATGAAATTTTACGCAGAGTTCCAATATTTAAAACAGATGAAAGCACAGCTGCTGTGACCGAAGCAGGAGGAAGCAGTCTCGCCCACGAGGGTGCCCACGTGGCCTCGTCCCACCCCTTTTACTGTCAGAGGGGCCCTTGGTCTGTGTCATGCTCTGTGCGACCTCTTGCTGGGTTACTGAGAGGATCCCGTATCAACCTCGCCATGTCGCTGCTGCTGTGATGTTGCTCTCACGGGCTTTGAATGTGTGTCTCTACTCCTTCCCGTTCTTTTTGTTGGTGGTTGGTTTTCTCCTTCTCCTTCTCCTTCTAAACTGGCCTCTCTTGCTCTTCGAGTCACTTTTTATAGAAATGCTTCAGAATGGCCGGCACAGCAGTATCTGCTCTTGTATCTGCTCTTCCATTGCAGATACTAAAAATATAAGTGCTATGGGGAGGGAACCCCAGTTTCTTCTCTCCCCCTCCCACGCCCCCACTTCTTCTTTAAATTTTAGGAGTGGCTGGTCAGCTAAGGAAGGTTAGGTTTTTTCCCCCAGGGAATTTTGATTAGAAACTATAGAAAAAACAATATATAAAAATTTAGAGGGACACTTAGAAAAGATTCCTCACTCTTGTTTGACAAGATCTACTTCCAAGAGGCTTGAAGTAGAAACTTGTCAAACTGCCTACTGCACACTTGGCCTCTGCAGTGTAGCGATCGCCGGGGCTTACCTAGGAGAAGGGGAAGTCTTCACAGGACACGGGGATGGGGCGGGAAACCATCCCAGCCTCCGCAGCTTCCGTGTGCTGATAACTAAAGAAGTGATCAGCCGCGAAGCCAGGTCCTGGGCTCCTGCTGTTGGCAAGAACCGTGTTCCAGCTGTGACTGTCCTCACAGAGGCCTCTCCTACATTTTTTAAAGATGCATAGAGGTTGCAGGCTCAGTCCCTGGTAGGAGTGTGTGCAGGAGGCAACCGATCAATGTTTCTCTCTCACATCGATGTTTCTCTCTCTCTCCCTTTCCCTTCATTGCTCTCTAAAAATCAATGAAAACATACTTTTTTTAAAATGCATAGAAATTTTAAACCAAAAGCAGAAGGCCCAGGATCTTTCACTTCAAGGCAGAGAGAACCGGAATCATGACAGGCTAGCAGAACCGTGTCTTACGGCTGCTACATGATTTCCTTGGTACAGAGTCCTGTCACGTCGGAGCTTCTGCAGATGATCTTGGTCTCCATGCTGTCAGGTGCTAACTGTTGCCGGGATTTCGATAGTAGTGACTAGACATTCAGGTCGCTTTGAAAGTTGAGCTCCTTACCATTACTAATAAGATGATTTCCATTTGAACCAGTAATGATGCCATTTAAGTAGAACTGTAAACGACATAGAAGTGGCAGTGTTTCGTAGACGGGTACTCTGTGCTACCCTGGATCTCCTGAGGTGCTGTTATCCTAGCTCTGTGTTCTCCCACCGCATGTGTGTGTGTGTGTGTGTGTGTGTGTGTGTGTGTTTGCGCGCACGCGCACGCCTAATTTGTATTTTCTGACCTTATTTTCCATCTTCCTTTGTGTCCCCTTGGCTTTCTTCATCTCCTTCCTTAATTATTGATTCAAGTGTCATTATTAAGCTTTGTTTTGTTGATTGACACTCTTGTTTATTACAACCTACTACCATAGTTGAGCCCTCTCTTTTTAATGGATTTTCAGAAAAGAGGGGAAGAGAGGGGGGAGGGAGAGAAACATCGATCTGAGGCCCTTCCTCTTTTCGCCCAGACCTTCAGTCTCTGAGATACCTTTTTGTCCCTACTCAACCGTTCTACCTCCTACATAGAGCTTTTCATATTCCCTAGTTGACTGCCTCCTCGGTCTATACATTTTTTCGCCTTTGCTTTATGATCCTCAGTGTTTTCTGCTTTACCCCTCTCCTTCCTCACATTGTGATGCTATTGTAAAGCATACTAGCTAATACATAAACCGTGTATATTTCATTTGGATCGTTCTATTTCCTTTCTTTCTGAACGGAGGAACTGGTGACATTGGTTTTTCTGTGTATTATTTCAGATAAGGACACGAGAACTCAAAATGTGAAATCAGCTTCGAGGCAAAAGACTTCTTCGGGCGTAGAACTGCATGGCGATGTTCCTAACACCATTCACAGGAACCCTTCCCAGAGTTCCACATCCAGAGGAACTGGCAGCCAAGATGGTACGTTAGATAGAAGATACAGAAATCCTTCTAGGAAAAAACAGCGCACGTGTGACGAGTGTGGCAAAACCTTCAGTCAGAGCTCAGCCCTCATGCTCCACCAGAGGATCCACAGTGGAGAGAAGCCTTTCGCATGTGACGTGTGTGCAAAGGCTTTTAGCCGGAGTGCGGTCCTCATTCAGCATCGGAGAATCCACACCGGGGAGAGGCCCTACAAGTGCCACGAGTGTGGGAAAGCCTTCAGTCAGAGCTCGAATCTCTTCAGGCACAGGAAAAGCCACACGTGCGTCGGTCCTGGGAGGGAGTCAAAGCGTCTACTCAAAACTTTCTCAACAGAGGAAGACACACGGCACCAGTAGCTCCCTAGTGTAGATCACTGGTCTTAATGAGCAGGGTCCTTTCAAAGGTCATAAAGAAGAGGATACAGACCATCTTATGTCAGCCTTGTTTGCTTCTCTGCTACTGTATTGATAAGCAGAAAAGCAGACAAGGCTGAATTGAACTCTGATTTCCATCCGGAGAGTAGCTCTTGAAAGACATTCTCAGACACGTTCTATTTCTGCTCTTTGCACCAACGATGACATAGTACAGTGGCCCCTCGAACACTGGTTTGAACAGCAGAAGTGTTAACTTTATGTATATTTTTCTCAGTGCGTATACAGTTGGCCCTCTGTGTTCCTCGGCTTCAACCAACCACAGATTGAGTCTGCAGATGCAGGGAGCCAACTGTGTGCATTGTTCTATGCCATTTCATACAAGGGAATTGAGCACCCGCCTATTTGGGTATCTACTGGGGGTGGGGGTGGGGGTGGGTAGGTGAGCCTGGAACCAATCCACCGCAGGTACTGAGGGACGACTGTGTATTTCTTTTTAGACAAATGCATGTCCCCTGTTGAGAAAGAATCTGAGTTACTCCATATAAAAACATAATCTTTTCCATTTCATACCTTAAGTATGAGAGTTCTCAGACCAAAGATGAAAGCACTTTTTAAACATTTCTCATTTTGCTTTCTGTTACTAGATTTTTAAATATGAGAATAGGATTGAGGAGGCCCAAGAGAATATGTACCTCAAGATCTAGGCTGAAACGCCCAGGGTCATTGTCAGGAGGCTGGTGAGTAAAGGGACTTAATCTCTTACGAAAACTCACAAGAGCATAGACATTACTGATGAGACTAAGAAATTTCCTGTGTAGGAAAAAGAAAAATCTCCTTTACAATGTAACTTGGAGATCACTCAGTGAAGGCAGTAAGATGACTACACGTCTTAGGGAGTGGCTTCGGCCTAAGGAATGTTCTGGTAATGAGGTGGGTTGCCTATGCTTATGTAAGGTTGATGACCCTCTTAATATGAAGGGAAGGAGAAGGGAGATGAAGAAAAGACTCCAGATGAGACTGACTGGTGTGACCCGGGTGTTGGCGAGTGCGGTGTGTGATGGAGAGGGTACCATGGCTTTGCTGGAAAAGGAAGCCCTTCCCAGCTGAGGCCTGTCCCTCCGGGCTCCTCCTGGCCCCCTTTAGCTGTGACCGTGTTTCAGGCACCACAAGGCAGCCTTGTCAGGGTCCTGTACGTTCTTAACAAGATGATTTTCAAATGTTTGCAAAATGGGACCCCGGATTTTGATGCTCTTGTACGAATGAAACCACAGAAGTCAATTGAGCGTCCGCCAAAGTCTTACCCACGTTCAGTCAGATTCCCTGTACAGATGTAAAATGACCGATGTGTGTGTTAATAATGTATCCTGACAGGATGCAACAGGCCCTCCCCTTTCTCAGGGAGTCTGGGAAGACTGTTCTGAGAATGTGCATCGCTGTGTTTCCCTGGCGTCACAGTGACCCCACACGGGGAACTTCTCTGCTGCAGGGGGCTCCTCTCGAAGTGTCAGCGCGCCATCAGAAGATCCAGCTGTGTCCAGTGCTTAGAGTCACCCCAGACACGGAGGTGGGGTCACTGAGCTCCGCTTACTCCATTCATAAGATTAGTAGCGGGAGAAGTAAATGTAAGCTTTAATTCTGGGATCTGCTGATGGCGATTATATTTTATAGTTCTGGGGAATATATTGAGTTTTGTATATTTTCCGTTATTAAAAATGTAGGGATTCTTTGTTTGGTGCCGGTCTCTAGTTAAGAGAGGAATAAGCCATCTATTAAAGCAGCAAATGCCTCAGAAGGTGTGTCCTGTGAGTCACTGCTTAGTGATGGGAAGAGATTCTTGGTGCGGTGTGAATAAAGTGACCGTCTGCGTCACGTATCCCAGGGAAGTGTCTGCACGTGGTGCTGCCGTAAACCTGACAGTTACATCTGTTCATGGTGGACAACCTGCACTTCTCCACCCGAAAGCGATTCCGATCATCTTATCAAAGTGCATGGTGGTCTCCAAAGGGTGTTGCTGAGTCCTGGGAGTTATTTTGCACGCACAGAGGTCTCCTAATGAGGAGAAGATGCTGGCTTATCTAAGTGGAGAATTACTGTGACTGGGGCTAACTTCGATAAAAATTGGCTTCTAATAATACCCCATTAGATCGACTCATTCTCACAGACAGTAAATACTCCGAAGGGAAAATTTTTTAGATGGATTTCACCTTATCTGGGCCTTCGGTGTTATATCTATAACCCAATGTTCCTTCTTTACATCACTCCCCTTCTTTCTGAAAGCATGTCCTTCACTCCTGAAGGCTTCCTGCAGTGGGAATGTTTGGTTTTTGCAACCAGGAGTCTGGAGGACAGGTTGCTGCTGGCTCTCTCTCCACCAGCAGCTGGACAGTGCTGGTCTGGCTGGGGAATCTGCCCTTCTGTTGGCTTCCCCTCACGCTTACTTTCCCAGAATGCGAGGAAGCGGTCCCAGCTCCAGGAACGACGCCCGGGGTCATGACAGAAAGGAAGTGGGAAAAGGCACGGACATGGCTGTCTCCTTTACTAGGAAACACGGAGGCTTTCCAAGAAACCCCTGCAAAGGCTGCTGACGCTTCCTGGTTGCATGTCTGGTAACGGGATTGGGGACCACGTGGCTCAGTCAACAGTGTTTGCCGTCCTCCTCCTCGGCCACCTTCCTCATCGTGGGCAGATGACTATGATTGTGCCTCTGGTGTGACAGAGAGAAAGATCACAGCTCTTAGAGCCTCTTACCACCAAATTTGCCAACTTGTCTACGTCCCTCATCATTGCTTCTCCCTCCTCTCAGGAGGAAAGAGGGGTCGCTCCTCTCTGGCCCAGGCTCCCGGCAGTATGTGGCAGCCGCCCAGCAGTGGCAGGGGGCCCGGGGAAGGCTCCTTCTACTCAGGGGAGGGCACCTTTGCTCTGACTAGGAGCGTTGGTCCCAGGAGCATGTGCCAGTCCCCCGGCCTTCATTCTGTGTCCTCTGCCTGGACCAGGATGCAGACGCAGTTGAGAGGAGTGAACGGCAGGGCAGGGACACAGAAACCCCAGCTTTCTAGCTGAATGGCTGGTAATGGAGGCCTCAGGGAGCCAGAAAGTGATGGGTTTATTGCCTAGAGGAGGGAGACCAAGTGTGGTCCCCAAAAGCAATGTATGAACTCCTCTGCTCACCCCTACACTGCACGTGCATGGAGCAGACAGCAGGCGTTGAGAAGGGAGCTACAGACTGACCACTGGGCGGCATACACAAAGGGCAGCTCCCAGTTGCACTGCGAGTGTTTGAAAACGGAACTGACATTGGAGCCACAGCCCACACAGTGCAGATCAGAACTTGTGGCCTGACCCTTGCCAGGGCTACTGCCCACTAAACCAAACTAATCAATCTCCTAACGGTTTAGATGATACCCAGAATCAGATACCATGACTCAAAATGTACAGGATACAATGCAGAATTACTAGGCCTGGGAGAACCCAGAATACCGCAATTTGCAAGGAAAAAATCAAATGATGCCAATACCTAGATAATAAAGATATTGGAATTATCAGAAAAAGACTTTAAATAAGATATTATAAATAACCATGCCTAGGAAGTAAGAGTGAATTAATGGAAAAATAGAAAAATCCAGGAAAGAAAATATAAATAAGAATCAAATGAAAATTTTAGAGCTGAGAAATACAACCAAAATAAAATATTCACTGTATGAGCTCAATGGAAGGATCCAGGTGACAGGGCAAATAATTGTAATCAATAGAAATTATCATATTTAAACAGCACAGAGAATAAAATATTGAAAAAAAAAGAGCAGACAGTACAAGAAAACTACAATCCAAAAACTCTTAATGAGCATCGGCACAAAAACCCTCAACAGAATGTTATCCAGTGGAATGCAGCCGGGTATAAACAGAATGAAACACCCGCAGCAAGTTGGGTTACACCACCTATTACTCAAAAGCAAAGTCATCCACCAGGTTAGTAGTTTCCAAAGGAAAAACCACATGTTCCTATCAACTGATGCATAAAAGCATTGGACAAAATTCAAAAGCTAATGCCAAGTGCAAGTGCTGGTGAGCAGCTGGAACACTCGGACATTGCTGATGGGGTTGGAAAGTGGCACACCCACTCTGGAAAGTGGCAGGTTCCCATAAAAATGAGCACATACTGACCATAGAAATTACTCAGCTCCAGCTGCTATAGCAACATGCCATATACCACATGGCTCAAATAACAGGACTTAATTTTTTATGGTTCTGGAGGCTGAGAAGTCCAAAATCAGCTGATTCAGTTCCCAGGTGAGGACTTCTCACTGTGTCCTCATGTAGTGAGGAGAGGGAGAAGCAAGCATCTTCTTCCTGTATATTTTCTTATAAGGACACTAATCCCATCATAAGGGCCCCACCCTCTTGATCTTATCCTATATAATAAAGAGGCAATATGCAAATTAACCCTCATGCCCTCACAAAGATGGCTGCCTACGACCAGGCTGGTGGGGGGGGGCAGTTAGGAGCGACCAGGCTGGCAGGGAGGGGGCAGTTGGGGGCGACCAGGCCAGCAGGGGCGGCAGTTAGGGGCGGTCAGGCCAGCAAGCAGAGGCAGTGAGGGGCAATCAGGCCGGTGGGGGGGGGGGCAGTTAGGGGCGACCAGGCAGGCAGGCAGGCAGGTAAGCGATTAGGAGCCAGCAGTCCAGGATTGTGAGAGGGTGCAGGCTGGGCTGAGGCGACCCCCCTCCCGTGCACGAATTTCGTGCACCAGGCCTCTAGTCTGAATATAATTACTTTACAAAGTGGTCATCTTCAAATACCATCACATGGGGGTTAGGGTTTCAATATGTGAGTTTGCGGGGGAGGGGGACAAGCACAAACATACAGTTCATAACACTGTATGACCCAGAAATCCCACTTCCCCCAAACATGGAACCCACAACCCGGGTATTTGCCCTGACCAGGAATTGAACCCGAGAAATTCCTGTGCACATGAGGACATTCCAACCAATTGAGCCACACCAGCCAGGGCTAGGTACAATTCTTGAAAGACAGACTACTTCCCCTTACACCTCAGTGAACAGAACTGAATAATATGGCCATTCCTAGTTGCCAGGGAGGCAACGTGAGTACCTGGCCAAGGGAAATAGAATGGTCATGGATGGTGTAGCTCAATACCATTTCTTTTTATTTCTTTTATATATATATTTTTTTTATTGATTTCAGAGGGGAAGGGAAAGGGAGAGAGAAATAGAAACATCAATGATAAGAGAGAATCATTGATCGGCTGCCTCCTGCACGCCCCCTACTGGGGATCCAGCCCGAAAACTGGGCATGTGCCCTTGACCAGAATCAAACCTGGAACCCCTCAGCCTGAAGGCTGACACTATCCATTGAGCCAAACCAGCTAGGGCCCCAATACAATTTCTTGCATATGGCTGAGCCCAGTGTCGCCCACCACTCCCAAATGCAAAAGATCAGAGTTGTATTAGAAGTAAGGGGATGCCCTGACCAGTTTGGCTCAGTGGATAGAGCATCGGCCTGCGGACTGAAGGGTCCCAGGTTTGATTCCGGTCAAGGGCATGTACCTTGGTTTCGGGCATATCCCCAGTAGGGGGTGTGCAGGAGGTAGCTGATCGATGTTTCTCTCTCATGGATGTTTCTAACTCTCTATCCCTCTCCCTTCCTCTCTGTAAAAAATCAATAAAATATATTTTTAAAAAAAAAGAAGTAAGGGGAGTGCTTCATCTAGGACACTAACAATGCCTGCCAGTTAGGCTTTTAGTCACTTGCAAACAGAGGACTCCTGGTGCAGTGCACTCCTCAGCTAAAGGGATCTTAACCAGTGGACGTAAAGGGCCCCCAGGGAGGGACTTCTGAGCTGGGCAGTGGGACTGAGGGCTCCAAAGCAATTGTTAGAGACAAGCCTGGAAAAGGCTTGACATCTGATAACACCAGATCCGAAGGCCTGTGTTCTCTTTGTCCATCTCCTGGTGCCTCCCTGCCCCTCAGCACGCCTCCTTTAGGCCCCCTGATGGTGCTCTACGCTGCTCCTCTGTGGCAGTCTCCGCTGCCTTGTAAATGCTTGTCTCCTTGTCTAAGTCCTTAAGGAGAGGCTAATGCTAAGAAGAAATCATGACCTCATTTTCGTCATGGTCAGTTCTCTGGAATGAAGGTATGTAGTATCTGCTTTTCACTTGGTTGGTTGTGGGTTTTTTGTTGTTGCCATTAATGAATGAATGAGATAGTTTAAGGCAAAGTTGAAAAATGTGGCTGGTAAAGGAACGAGTGCTTTTTAGATTTAGACAGATTATTATTTAAACAGACAGTGAAAGCAAGATTGGCCCAAAGTCCCAACTCCTCGCGAGCTTTTGTCACACACACACCAAAAGGCCGACACCAAAACAGGAGCCAGATGGCTGCACCGAGCCGTGGACCGCCTCAGGGCTGAGGGCCAAGGCCTCACCCAAGATATTTTTTCCACTGATTTCTAGAGAGAGTGGAAGGAAAGGAGGGAGGAAGATGGGAGGGAAAGACAAGGCGGGGGGAGAGAGAGAGAGAGAGATACACAGATGTGAGAGAGACCCATCTCTAGGTTGCCTTCCTCCTGCACCCCCACTGGGGCTTGGAACCTGCAACCGAGGTACAAGGTACACCTTGACTAGGAATCGAACCTGAGACCCTTCAGTCCATGGGCCAACGCTCTAGGCACTGAGCAAACTGGCTTTTATATGGTCTGCCACTGTCCTGTGAGGGGCGGGGGAGGGGAGCAGAAAGCCTTAGTCACAATCCAGGAAATAATGAGAAACGGTCTCATGACAACCTCCCTGGGAGACTGGGAATGGAGTGGCAGCAGCTCCTCATGCGCTTGTGTTCCAGAGGCTCACGGGTGTTCTGCCAGGACTCAGGTCAGCTGCGGTTCAGGCCTTGCTATGGAGCCCAGGTAGGTAAGTCCCAGG